GGGCGGCGGCAGGGGTGGCCGCGGCCGCGGGAGGGGCAGGGGTTAGGGGTTGCCGTCACTATTGTCTTTGGGCTTCATTCGGCAAGTTTAGTGAGCACCCTACAGCTGACCCTCTGGATTGTACCATGTGCCCTCCTTGGAGCCTGCGGGGCCGCAGCAGGCCTGCCTTGCCAGTGGAAGGGCTCGTGCTTTCCCCCTTTCCCTGCCTACGCTGATGAAGTTGGGGCGTGCAGTGAGCCCCATGAAACACAGCAGTGGGTAAGCAGTCACTACCATGGTTTTCGCGTGGATTTTCATAATGATATAGAACATATCTAGGCACAGCCCAGGCAACCGGCCAAGGGGGTCAGACGCCCCTTGCTACATGCGCAAGTCTGCGGACAGGTGTCTGCGCCTGACCCATTATGGAAGTGGGTAACCGAAGCACAATGACGCCAAGAGAGGGGACTGAAAGTATGTATGTCGTAGTCCGGTCGCAACGAGCAGGCATCAAAATAGGGGAGGGTGGGCCACGACACGGAGGCAGATATTCCTTGCGGCTGTGCAAATATCTTTGCCGCCTCCTCCTTGCGTTCCACCAGTTTTGTTATGTAATTATAATGTGGACGGAAAGCATGGCGGTTGCGGCGGGAGGTTTCGTGCCGCACAACCACTGCACACGCCCATATTGCAGCGTCCACGCGGAGGTGCGCGCACAGCGTCCGCAGCGCAGGTGGGGCACATGCCAGCTCCGCGGAGCATAGGCGTTCTCCTCTGATCCCTGTGCGCCCACAATCGCAGAAATATGCTCCAGTGCCAAGTAAAAGTGTACGTGTGATCGTCTGCAGCGGTGCGTTAGAATACATCGCCCAGATTTGAGCCGTCGCGGACATCAAGGGCTGCTGGAGGTGTGAGCTAGCGCAAACTCTGCCTTGGACGCAAAACTGTCTGTTAGACGCGCTCTGGTCGCTCAGCGACCCCGATTTTGCAGCGCAACAGGAACCCACGCACGGATCATCCTGCCTCTTCCTGCGCAGACGCTCGTTTGCGCGCAGATACAATGGCAATAAGCACAGCAGCGCTTCGATGCGCGGCCACCCCATGCTGCGTGCGCCTCCCGGGGCGCGCGCGAACAGTGGCGGGGACGCCGCTCCGGCGACCACTGCAGCGGCTCGGGTGAGCGCCGCCCCGCCCCGGCCCTCGGCCCCGCGCCTGCACTTGCCCCAGCCGCTGCTACTTGGTTCCTCTTGGGCCTGCACCTCATGCCTGCCGCCCATTGTGCACGCACGCCCCGTGCTTGTGCACCGTGCAGTGTGCTGCCGGACGACCGCTCCGACCCGCTCGCGGCAGCATGCCCCGTGCCGAAGGACCAGCAGCCGATCTTCCAGCTGAAGGAGCTGCAGGTGGGCAAATTTCCGGGCAGCGCACTTGGGCCCCGCCCGCGCTTTACGACCGCGCGGCAGGGCGCAATGGCACGGCTCGGCAGCGCGACGCCTGCAGAAGCTCAAGGCGCCAGCCCCGCTGCCTGCGTGATCCGCGCCCGCCGCGCGCGCGCTGCGGCGCCTCTCCTGTGCGGCGCCTCCGCGGCGCGGCGTCCGCCCATCCGTCGTTCGCCGCCGCCGGCCCGCAGGAGGATGAGACATTTGACCTCGCGCGGCGGCCCCTGCCCCAGTTCAGCCTGAGCCTGGCCAAGAGCTTCGGGGCCTTCTTCTTCCTCATGGGACTGCCAGTGTCATGCTTCACCTTCGAATTCTCAAAGGAGCCGGCGCAGTGCCTGCTGTCGGCGGCAGCGGGCAGCCTGTTCATCGTAACGGTGGGTGCGGGGGCGGCTGTGGTCGCGGCGCGGCGCGCGTCGTTCGGTGCGGCGCTGAGGGGGTGCCGGCCGGGGCCGCGGCTGAGCGGGCAAAAGGTCTGCTGCGAGACGCGCCGGGCGGGCGGGCTGGCGGGGCGGGCGCGCCGTGACGGGTGAGGCGGCGCCCCTCAAACCGCCGTCCCGCGGTCGGGGCTAAGCATGTTATGATAGCAGTTCCGCGCGGCGCGGCGCGGTGAACGCAGGTGCTGGTGTGGCGGATGTACCTGGGCTGGGACCACGTCGGCGCGCGGCTGCAGGCCGCCACGGTGCCCTACGAGGAGACCGGGTGCGCTGGGCCCGCCTGTTGCGCGGTCGATGTTGCCGCACTGCATCCCAAGTTGGGGCCCATCTGGCGGCTGGGGGCGCCAGCATTTCGGGGTCGCGCCAGCCGCTTGCTGACCTCAACATACGGCGTGCCAGCTCTCCTCGTCATGCAGGAAATGGCAGCAGCTGCTCGTGGCCTTGCGCTTTGTGTTGTTGCTGGTGTGTGACGCAGCGGGGCGTATGCGCTAAGCAGGCCTGTCAGCGCCCCCCAACTGGTGTGCGCGATGTTGCTCAAATTGCCAGGTGGTACGACGGGCAGCTGTGGGTGAAGACGCCTGAGATCCTGGCGCGCGACCGGCTGGCGTTCGCCTATCAGATTCGCCCCACCATGGCGCGCCTCAAGTCGACGCTGCTCGGTCTTGGGGGTGGGTTCGACCGCGTCACGCGCTGGGGGCGCACCCGTGTGCTGCTGCTGCTGCTGCCGCTGCTGCTGCTGCCGCCGCAGCTGCTGGTGCCGCTGCTGCTGCTGCTGCTGCTGCTGCTGCTGCTGCTGCTGCTGCTGCTGCTGCTGCTGCTGCTGCTGCTAGGCTGCTGCTGCTACTGCTGCTGCTGCTGCTGCTGCCAGCAATTCGACAGCATCGCTCCTTCCTGCCCTGCTCCCTCCAACCGCGCTGCACCGTCTTGACGTTCACCTGCTCGGCGCTCGGCCCCTCACGAGTTCTCAAACACCGACACCGCTGCCCCCACGCGCAGGCGCCCTGGCTGCCTCTGTCGTGCTGCTGGCCGCCCTCCCGCCCCCCTCAGCCCAGTCCTCGTATTACCAGGACAACTACTCCGCCCCGCGGTCCACGGCTGCGGCCGCGGCGTCGGCCCTGGAGGGCCGCAGTTATGAGGACCGCGTCCGGGAGTACGAGCCATGGGCTGATCTGGAGGACGGGGACGACGCGGCCAACGCGGCGGCGGCGGCGGCGGCGGGCTCCATCCTGCAACACATGCGGCCCTTGCCGTGACGCGCCCCCCGCAGGCACACGCGCGTAAGCGCCTCCTTTGAATTGCTAGCATTGGTTATGCTGGGCCTGAATCTGAACTGTATCTGTGCCTGCTGAGCGGTTTGTTTGCCGTCCCTGTGCCACGTGAGTGAGGGCCTGTTGCGACAGAATGTTGGAGAGAAAGCATGAGCTGAGCACCTTGCTTTATGGTACTGGTGACGTACTGGTGCGGTCATCTTGACACCGTGCGAGGTGTTGACATGTCCAGGCTGGAAAGCTTGACCTGTGATGAGCAAATGCTGTTCAAGTTGATACACCTGCAGGTCAGGGGTTTCTGAGGTCAGCTCTTGCCTGCTGCCGTGAACGCGCCATGCAGGCGCACACCGAGCCCTCTTGCCTACCCAAACCCCTGTCTCATCTGCTTTGCTGAGACCGCAGGGTGGCCAATGCCAATGCCTGGCAAGGCCAGACACGTGCCGGCAGAGCCCGACGGGGCGCAGCACAGCCGGCTGACTTGAGAGGGGAGGTGGCATTGCCTGGGCGGTTGCTATTTGAATGCACGCTGCTCTGGAGTAAGTAAGAGTAGTGGCAAGACAGAGAGCGAGAGGCTGCATGATGCAAGGCTGCCATTCAGCACACTGCGGACTGCAGAGCGTACACGTGCAGTCCGCCTCTGCACCGCATGAAACAAACTGCCGACAGGCTGCTGTAGCCAGGGAGCTGATGCAGAACGCATAAGGCCATTAGCAAGGAACGACGCCCCTGGGGCAGCGTGGGCGCAGGAAACGGCTGGCGCAGGAGCTGACCCCTGAGGAGCTGCACTTCGGCTCGGGAGCGGAAGCCGAATCAGGTCGGCGCCCATTGGCAGGGTACTACACACGCCGCACGATCAAGAACATTCATAATCGAGTACTTCAAACCACTTTAGCCCCCTGGCCAACGTATCCCAAGCAGTCCAGCTCAACGCAGCTGACAGCACCCCGACTCCAAAGGCCCGTCTTCCGCCTCCAAGCCTGCATTGAGGTCTCGCATACACGACGTGATCCTGCACCCAACGACACAGGTGAGGGCCCCGTGAAGCACCCACGAGGGCAACCGCTTTTGGTGCCCGGCCTCTGTGTCCGCCTGGCGCTGCGTACATGTTGTCTCCTATCGGCACAATACTTGAGAGCGCTATCCTGCGCCCTGCCGCGCCTGACGCCGCCGCGCTCGTCCCACCTGCGCTGCTCTGCAGGCGCGTGTCCACTGTTCGCGCTGGTTGCCCGCCACCGCGACAGCAGCATCCATGGCGTCACTTCACACACTCCTGGTAGGTGCACTGACCGCACAGCAAGCGCTTAATGGCTAGAGGGCTCCCTGCAGTTGCATATGCTCCGTACAGTAGGCGGCGCTGCCGATGCTGCCCGTCTGTCCACCCAGAGCTAGGGGCCCTCCCTCCAACCAGGCCGCGCATTACCTGCCCTTCCCCCCACCTCAGGCCGTGCTCCACCTGGCGACCCTGGCTGACGCCATGAGGCGCTCAAGCACGACGCACACTCGCACCAAGACCACCGCCAAGGCCACCAAAGCCGACGCCCGTCCCGTGGCCGCCGAGCCACCGGCGCCCATCCCCTGCGGCGCTGAAGGCACGTCATCCGACGCCGGCATTCCCGACCCCTCGCAGCCCACCACCGCCACCGCCGCTGACGCACCCAGGGCCTCCAAGGCCGGCTGGTTTGTGCGCGCGGTCTCCGCCGTCAAGGCCAAATGGCGCGCCCTCGTAGTCGCCGCCGCTGATAAAGCCACCCCTGCACCCGAGGAGCCCGCAACCGCACCCGCGCCGCGCGCAGCCAGCGCCTCCTCCACGGCCAGCCAGAGCAACGCCACCCAGGCCGCCGCCCCCCTTGGTGACAACGCCTCCGCCCCCAAGGCCCCGAAGAACGCCAACTGGTTTGCGCGCGCCTTTGCCAGCGCCGAGGCCAAGTGCGGCGCCGCATGCCACTCTGTCGCCGCTTCGTGGCACGCCACCGCCGCCCAGGCGTCGGCCGCCCTCACCCCCAAGCGCAAGGCTGAGAAGACCGCCACTCAGACGAAGGGTCATCGCAGCAGCAAGGCTCACGCCGCGTTGTCCCCCTCCGCGCCCGCTGGTGCCGCGGTCGCCGCGCCTGCGGCCGGCCCCGGCGACAACGGCAGCCCCGCCTTCCCTGTCGCTGTGGCCGACGCCAACGCTGCCGTGCTGGTGAGCGTCGTCGCCTCCCCCGCCCCCAAGCCTGCGGCAGCGGCCCCCAAGCCCGGTTCTGAGGCCGGCGCTGCTGCAACGCCCAGCAGGTGGAGGGACAACCTCTGCACCAAGTTCAGGTCCGCCCTGCCGCACGCCCGCGCCAGCCGGCGCGCCCCCGCCTCCTGCCGCACGGCCCGCATCAAGGCGGGCGCCGCCCCCTCCGCCAAGCCCTGCGATGGCGAGCCCACGCCCGCCCCCGCCGCCCCCAAGGGCCGCATCGGCCAGATGCCGGGCGCTGCGTTTGCCGCCAAGCTTGCCCGCCTCTCGGCGCGTCGCAGCCGCCCCGACCGGGAGGCGGCGAAGGTGGTTGTGGGCGTGGTGGGGGGCGAGGCGGCGGTGGCCTGCTAGCCGCTTGCGCGCAAGCTAACGCCCTGCTGTGGATGTTTCTTGACAGACCCTGGTTTGTTGCGCCCCGACCTTTTGTGCCATACCTTGCCTCGTTGCTGCTTCGTGCCTGTGCCTCCTGTCAATACTTCTGGCTGACACACTATAGTGTCGCCAGCCGCCTTGGGCCTTGCCGGCTGCCCTTGCGGCCCTTTGCCACGCGCGGGACGCGGCCTGCGCTGGTCCGCCAGCCTTTGAGCCCTTACTTGGTTGCGTGCTGCCCACTTTCACAGAAGCGGCGATCAAGCAATCACATGACTCTTCGCGTCCCCTCCCGTCTGCCAAACCGCCGGCGTCTGCTGCATGTCCCCTGATTTTGCGCTGCGCCCTTTCTCACGCACCTTTGCTCTATCCCTCCTCACACCCTCACACCGCTGCATTGCACCATGACCTTGCCGGGCAGAGTGCGGCAATTACAGGAGTGGGCATGCATGCATGCTTGTGAACAAAGCACGCTGTCTGTGCGGCCGTGCGCTGTCCTGGAGTGTTCTCGTGGCCTGTGCATGCGCCATGCCTGGCGCAGTCTGGACATAATCAAAGAGGGGCCCTGACTTGTGCACATGTACCTGGTCCCTGCAGTGCCTTGTGCTCTGCAACAGCCTCACCCCCCAACCCCGCTGCAACAGTGACATGTCAGGAGTGCTTACACATGACGCGTCGCAACTGACGCAAAATGAATCAGTAATAATAGGTCCTGCCCAACACATGTTATCTCAGGCACAGAGGGACTGGATTTGCACAACCCATGACATCATACGGAAAATGATTAGTAGAATCAACATTGACAGGGCATTGGCGATGCGCGCAGCAATTCAGCAGCTTGCAAAGGGAGGGATATAGCTTGGAGGTCTACACTTAGCTGTACAACCTGATACATCCAAGTTGGACGATACTGTCACAGCGGGGATGCAAACACCTGTTCAGGCGATTGGGAGGGTACGCGTAGAGGGTTGTGAAGTACTACTTCGTGCTGGCCGCAAACACTACGCACGGGTTCAAGCAAAGGTTCAAGCAAAACACCACATCTCTTTGGGGCTTGCACCATGGAAGTAAGTGCAGGCACCCCTATACCCTATTTTTGTTGCATGCTTTTCCACCAGCAAGTATCCCCTTCTGGCCACAATAGTGCGTGGACCAAGGCGTGCGCACTGGATGCCGCACCTGTGTCCAGTACACAGTGCCGGAGGCTGATCTGATGGCCGCCACACCCATGTTAGTGTAGTTTCGGTTGAGGATGTTGGCCCTACAATTCAAGTGGAAGCCCAAATATGAGCATGGACATGAGAGAAAATAGGAACTGAGTGCTCATCTTGACGTGCCCAGCCGCCAGCGCTTTTGCTTGGCATGCTGACATGCAGTAACCTCACTGTGAATTCCGATGTATGGCCGGTTTTTTCCCGGCTTGCAGAGTGGTCTGCAAGTACCATCGGCCACGGCATCATGGTGAAACCTGTTTTCATGCTCACCTGTGGCCTGCACTGTTCATCCAGTCCCGGAACACAGCTCGCGCAGAGGTCTGCCCTGCAGCCACGTTCTCACCAGCATATCTCATTGAGTACCCCTGCTGCTTGACCCGCTGGCCGATACTCGACCCGTTGCTGCCCTCATGGCCCATGCGGTTGCGGCGCGCCTGGTCCAGGCTGTGTGTCTGGGCGGCGGCGGTTAGCCGGGGGTTGATGGTCACGGGCCGCAGGCCCGAGGACGCGCGTGCAGAATTGACCAGGGAGAGGAGTTCAGACTCCATGGCGCTCCTGACACAGCTGCCGCTGTCGCCGGCGCGTATGAAGCAGACCACAAAGACGGTGCCCCAGCAGCCACGGCGCAGTAGTGTGTGATTCACACAGCCGTGCAACTCCGGTCCTTGAAGCTCCTTGGATACTGTGTGGCGCCGGGCAGGTGGAAGAATAGGTCGCGATAACGGAGTTTGAAGAACACGAACAAGTGCGCTGCAAGCTAGAGATTGCGAACCCAACGTCGGTGTGCGGTGTCTACGGTGGTGGCCACGGTAACTGCCCTCGTTACTGCTTGCATGCTACGCCAGGATGTATCCAAAACCATTCATGCGACAAGGCTGGCCTTGCCTGCAGGGTCCTGCTCAGGAGAGGAGGCTGAAGCACAGAGATGCCAGATTGTCACAGGATGCCAGTCTGAGCGCGCGCCAGTCACAGAGTGCCAGGGTATTCATGACAGGAACGAGAACAGACTTAAAAGGGCGCAAATCGTAGTAGGTAATTCAGGTGACGCGGCGTACGCCAGGCCGGTCTACTCCCACGCACGGCGGGGTCACTCAATCGGGCGCCGCGCGCAGCTTGCACTCCATCGGGCGCTGCCAACTGCACCGCCTGTGCGCCGGGATCCGCCACGTTGTGCGCCACATGCGCCGCCGGCTACACGGTTGACAGTGCCGGCCAGTGTGCCCTGAGTGTCCCGGCGGGCCCGCGTGCATACGCACAGCAGAAAGGCGCAGACGGACCGACAGACGGCAGGAGAGCATCCAAGGCAACAGTAGTCAAGTGCAGTAAAGCAGTGTTTGCAGCCTTGCAATCTCCTCCACTTGGAGCAAAGCGAAGCCGCCCGTGGCTTGATCAGCGCCGATCAAACGTGTGCACCATCTCGTAGACTTCAGCGCTTGCGGTTTGAAGTTGGACACAGCAGGCTCCCAGGTGTTGTTAGGATCAGGGCAGCCTTGCCACTTGATCAGGTACTTGACGACGCGGGAGCCGCCAGATTTCTCTGTCTTCATGGGCCAGACAGCTTTAACAATGTAGGCGGCAGAGCCGTCAGCGAAGGCCAGATCAGGCGGCGGTCGGTCGATGGTGTCATGGTCGGGGAAGTGGGCAAGATCAGATGGGGGATGGAGAGGGAGAGAGAGAGAGAGAGAGAGAGAGAGAGAGAGAGAGAGAGAGAGAGAGAGAGAGAGAGGGAGAGAGAGAGGAGAGAG